ACGTAAAACGATGGAAACGATGGAAATATATAAAATAGAAACTGAGTTGTTTAGAAGACAGAGTGGTCCGGTCAAGTGTTAAAATCCTTACTATAAATATGGGAATTTGACAGATGCAAATTCATCTCGTCAAAAGCTTCAAATGAGCAATATAATACTGGTTTGTTTTTTTTTCGATCATGCTCCAACAAAACAGGGAAAAAAATTATTATTAGCATTCTTATTAGTGAGGGATATCTAAAACATGACCTTTCAATTAAAAAAAACATTGCAGTATATTGACCCTGAATAGTAGCATAAAGGTCAGCATAATAGAGTACCTCACTACTATCAAACATGACATAAATGTAAACAGACAGTCCACACACAACGTAAATAAAGAGAAGAAATACACAACACTACACTTCAAAAACAACCACGATAACAATTCCGAATTTTCAATTTGAAAAAAGGAAAGAGGAATAGTTGGATTATAAAGGCTATTATAAATGTAAAGCATCTCTATAAAATCCACTGTTAAATGTATTTTGCGAAAATTTTAGGGAAAGATTGAAAGAAACATTGAGTTTAAAAAATGGAAAAAGAGACCTCTGTGTGCAATGAACGTTGTTTTCCGGAAACTGTAAATCCACGACGCCGCAACGAACCGTGTTTACTTAACATTCCAACTCTCAGTTCGGTATCAGACCTAACAAATAATGGATTCCGCATATTTCCCACGTAACCCGATGATTCCAGTTGCTCCTGTGTTAAAAACCGTCGTGAACTGGGCTGAGATCTGGAAAACTGAGATGACGTGTATCGCTCAGCTGACTCGTGCACCAGTGGACCAGCATGATCACAGTTTTGCTCCAATGAGTCACCGCCATCTGACCAGGCTTTTTTCCATCGTGAGAATCTGGGCTTCAGGCCATGCCAGATTAACGACTTACGCTTCTTATCTCCTCGACGCTTCTGGAAACGAAAAACAAGCAGACAAACTATACAAACAAACCAAATTAAATCACCCACTTAATCGACAAATTTGATTTCATATATGGAAATGAAAATTTTCACTTTTTTCTCATCACGATTATTCGGATAATCATTGCAACACGTCTTTGGATGCTGACGACATTACATGCCGGATACGGCTGTATGCTAGCTTTCCAAAACGTTCATCATGCCAACCATCAAACTGTCTCATTTAGTTTCCTTCGCCAAATTGATCAGCGATGGATTATTTGGCTTTCAAATAGATTGTGAAAATAAAATTTAAAGTCATAATGTTCGATACATCCGAATATGCTGCCCCATTTTCCGCAGTGTGTGAGATGTCTCAGTTGAATTTTGTGAGAGAAAATTATTTTATAAAATTCAAAAAAAAAAACTCATAGTCTACTCTGCAATCAAAATATTCCGTTTTTTTTTTAAATTAAATTTTCACAATCTGTTTAAAATGGAACGAAGCAATTTTCTTTACAACATGCAGGAAAGATTAAAATAGTTTCAAGAGCATAACAGATTTCTTTCTTTTAAAAACATGCCGAATTTTATTAAATTAAAAAAATGAAACACAGACAAAGAGAAAGAGAGATAGAAAGAGAGTAGGTAAAGTTAATTCGTGCAGTAACTCCTTTCAAATGGTTATAATAAGACTATTAAATGCTAGGTTTCTCTGTTTCCTTCCTCAAATATTTGTTATTTCGCTCTGAATTTTACAAGTACTTTTTTCCAAGTTTTTAGAAAGAAATTTTACAAAACCTTTTCTACGTCCTCTATATGAGCAAATAAGAGCAGTAAAAATTTGAGGAAAAAGAAGTCCAGAGAGATGGAACATACAGTCAATCAATTGTAGATTTTTTAAGGTTGACTAAATGAAAAATATAGCTTACCCGAAAAGTTGATTCACTTGTTGTTGGAATTTCGGACGTTTCATCAGGATCATCGTCGAATGTTGGTGCTACGCCACCAGCACGCAGATAACGTGGCCAACAGTCATATTTCAATAAATGAAATATCTGAAATATTTATTGAATTAAATTCAGTTAGTGTGGAAAATATTAAACCATGCCAGACAGATAAGTAAATGAATTTTCGGAAGAAGATCATGCGGTTTTGGCTTTAAAATTTCTTTTTAATCCATTTTCATTGATTAAGTGATTGGTTTTTTTTACCCACGTAACTATAGTTTCGAATAATCTGGTGGAATTTTTTTTTTTTTGAAATATAAAATATCCTGAAACAATCTCCTATAACCTCCCAATAAGGGTAAAAAAAATCAAATTCAATAGCAAAAGCCCTTCCAAAATTCCATTTAAAAAGGCAGAAATGTTAAGCTTTAGACTGTTAACAAAGGAATATGTTGTAGGTTAACCTGATATTGCGCCACGTCATACAGCTGACGCGTAAAATCTTCTGACATAACAGCATCTCTAATAGTTTTGCTTGTACTGTTATCAATATTCACTGGTTCTATACCATTTGGTGCGAAATATCGTTCAAAAATCTGACGGCCAACTTCTGCTCTTTTTTCCAACTAAAAAAAACGATGGAAAAGATAAATGACCGTAAAATTGATGTAAAATGCTTTTATTTATTAAAATTTATTTGTTAATTTCATAACTTTCGGTATTAGTTTTCAAAGGTTTTTCAGTACCAGTATTTTTTAAGTATTTTGTTTACCTCTATCATAACGGTTACCAAAAAAGAAACTTTTTTATTTGCTTTGCAATAAATTTATTGCTAAGAATTGTCGAAAAGATGATATTAAATAACAAGTTGAAATTTATAAAAGAGAAGGCTTGTTTTCAACAAAAATTCAAATTAAATAACATAAAAATAAATGATGCATACATACATCTGAATCAGGTATCGAACGATAATCTTCAACGGCCATATAAAAATTAATATTTTCAGCACAAAATTGTTGCTCAAGAAATTGCTGCAAAAAGAAAATGAAAAAAAAAATTAAGAAATTTATTCAGATTAAATTAATTTAGAAATTAATAATTAAAGCACAGCTGTTTTATTAGAGAATATTGAAATTTATGATAATATTTAACCTGAAATGGTTTTCTGTATGATTCGTTGTGTAATATCCTTTCAACATCGGTGCACGTTCTATCAGCTGTTTGATTATTACTGTTACGCATTTCACCACTACCATTCGCCATTACCATGGATTCAACTACCTCGTTAATTTCTTTTCCCGTCTTTATCTCTTTAAATTTTGTTTTGATCAGAGGAAAAGAAAAATTTTCGGCAAAACTATTTCTTAGTTTTATTCCATTATCTATTCTTTTTCTTCCAGTCAGAAATTTCATCAATTATAATCATCCTAATAAACAAATATTTTATTCGCTCTTTGTAACATATTCATCGAATAATTTTCTTATGTAAGTAATCTTTTCCTAAATGTTAATGAACAAATATAAGTTTGAAAACATTTCGAACATTAATAGATATCAAATACGAATTTATCAATTAATATATTTTAATGTTTTTGTAATTTAAACAAAAAAAAGAAACGAAAACCCTAGTAATACCGGAAATAACTGCGTGCTGTCTTGTTTTTGATGAAGAAGATTGAATTACTTTATAACATGCAGAGCAAGAAGAATAATTTGTATCTGATGAACGAAAAACATTCCTGAAATATCATCTATCTTTTTTTTTTTGATTTTATAATGAGTTTGATTTTATATTAAATCGATTACTTCATTAAGGAGTATAAATAATACATTCAGAAAAAATAACCGACTACCGCCTGATCAATGATTATATTACGATGGTATGACTCGATTGTTGATTAGGAAGATTAATCAACAATTTGATAATTATTAGATGTATTGTATCGCATCAGTGGATAATTTCTCATTAACATATAAGAGAAAGAAAAAAAATCTTACTCGAATGATCCATTACGGCATTCGTTCTTCAGTAAACCACCGAAGACGGTATCAGCCGTTTTACTACAAAACCCTTTAAAGAAATTAAGCAGTAATATGGGAATTTCATAAAAATTAATTTTAGCTAAAGTAAATAAAATAAATTTGACAAGAAAAAATCACACATACGCAAAATACACACATACACGCACACAAACGTGACACTTTTAAACAAAAAAAAGGAAAATTGAAATTGAACTAGCCTTCTGAGGAACAATAACTTCCGAAATTGGTGAACAGTGCATTGCACCCATCTCCGGTAATATGAAATTGTTCAAGGTTCGTTGAACCAATACACTTTACTGCTTTTTGCCGTCCTTCGACTTTAGCTGTCGTAAAAACACTATCACCCTAGAAATATTAACGAAAATCCTGTTATCATCAGGAAAAGAAAACTAATATTGATGCGAATCGTGTATTGTATTTGAAAAAGAAAAGTTAACTGTGTAAATTTGTTGTATGAATTTATTCATTTTATTCTCATCATCCATTCTTTTTCTCTTATCTTATCTTTAATTTATCTCTAACATCTATAAGCTTGACCTCGCATTAACTTTCTCATCTTTTTAAATGTTCAGTTAAATGGTAACATTAATCACCCGAATTATCATCTCCCAGAAACGATCTCATTAATTCTCGAAGAAATGATTCCACAATAGCTTCAAGTAAAAAAGAAAAGTGGGGGAGGAGAGGGGGAGGAGGAAGAAGGGAAATTCACTTAGTAGTGCAAAAATCCATTAAACTAGCCGCCTAAATATCGATAAAAGAGCTTCGCCATGGAGAGGCTATCGTTTATAAATGAAGCATAACAGACGCTTTGGTGGCTAGAAAGAAGGGGAGAAATCTTTATTGCGTAAAATATTTTTCAGCAAGGTATCTTTTTCCCCGCTATTGACTAATAACATAATTGAAATTCATTAGTGGTTGTGTTATATTCAACAAATATCACTTACTAATCATTGCTATATCGTTATCAGTCGAATCAACTACTATCACTTCAACCGATATATTCATATAATAAAGTTCGGTATGGCTTTACATCTGGATGAGAAAGAGCAGGTTACAGTGGTACGTTCACTAATCCCTTTTTCACTTCAAATCGGTCAAACTTCAGGTGATCACGGTACATTCTTGTGTAATGGAAGATCAGGGAATTTTAAATGATTGAATTTTGAAACTGAATAACTTCTCTTCGGATAAAAATCACCGCTTTTAAATGTGTGTGTGTGTGTGTGTTATGTAATTAAATTATAGAAATAACGTACCAAATAAAGATGACGTGAAGGAATTTTATTTCATGGTCAAGCTATTTGGTAGTAGTAGTAAGTAACGTAATATACTCTTCAGTATCTAATGAATGGATCAAAAGAAAGAGGAGGAGGAGGAGGAAGAGGATATGAGGGTGATGAGTGGGTGGATACGGGGGTGGTAAAGGAGGACAGTAGAGGATAATGAGGTATGAACGGCAAAACTAAGGCAGATTTTGCTTGAGCAGTGTCATAAGAGTTTTTAAGCTTAAAAAGATTAGAAAAATCAATTAAGGTCTTTTTGGACGTTTTGTGTGCATTTTTCTCATATCGTTTGTTCGTTCATTCTTCGGGTCGATCCTTCTTTACCCTTCCCTTTTCTTGCAATGTCCCTTTCCCGTCACTCACACCTCCTTTCTCCTTTCTCACGTTTCCTCTCACCTAATACACAAACTACAACTACGATAAGTGCTGCTCCACTATCACTACTGCTAATACAATAACACGAACAATAGCTTATCATTTACCGTCTAACTAATTTCTATTTCTCTTTTTAATAGATATATGGAATGGTAATATCACAGCACTACTTGCTTATTTCTCTCGAATGATCAGCTGGTTCAACTATGCTCGATTTAGCTGATAAGTGCCGCAAAAAAACCTCTTTCTTCATTCATTACTTCTATCCATTCCTCCCTCCACCCCCGCACCTTTCTTAATCCCTCCCTGTCCACCTCCCCTATCCATTCCGTACTTTTTGACAATAAAATTACTACCAACAATTTCTTTGCATATAAACTTCCATCTTATCCATCATTCCTTACAACTCCCTCTTTCTCTTCCTCCGTTTAAAACAAAAAAAAAAAAGTCGTCAAAAGAGCAAGTTAGTTGTTCCTTTCTTTCCTATTCCTCTCCTTTCCAATGATAAACTGCTTTTTCAATTTGAAAATTAGCCAATTTTCAGGGTTTTCCTGATTTAGTAAGATTCTTCTCTCCTCCTTCTCCTCTTCTTTTTCCAACTTCTTATTGTTAACTTTGATAAGTCAATACGAACATACCAAAGTCTGTCATTTAATGATGTCAAACTGACAAAATATTTGGCGAGAGCTTAAAAAGAGTAGAAGATTAAAATAACTTATAGATGGTATTCCATCCTTTTTTTTTTGTTTTCATCATTTGATCTAATAATCTCGAGTTGTTTTGTTGATGGATAAGAAAATGAGAAAAGCATTCTAGCAAGAACGGCTGAGATTGATATATGACGAAAAATATAAGTTGAAAAAAAATTTAGAAGCTTTAAGAAAGCTCAGAAAAGTGTCAAATTACAAATATGTTTAATTGGTTAAATGCCACGTAGTAGTAAATTTAGGTAACGAAAGGTTAAGTATAAAATGATATCACATACAGTATCATATCATCATGCATCATGTAATCATATACAGCTGAATTTATTTATAAGCAAAACAGGTTAAGTTATACCTTGATTTTCTATTTCTCCTAATGAAAAAATTTCAATTATATACCACTAATTTTTTCATTTTCAATCCAATAAAAGTTAAGCGATAACCAAACTTCATTCCTTAATCTATCCATTATTACACTAGAAGTTGAAGTGATCATAAATAATAGTCTCAACTTTTTCGAAGTTTATCGAATTTAACGAAAGATTTTACCATCTCGTAATTATATAAATCCGATTAATTGCTGAATTCAAAATGATACATAGCTAATTTTTGCATATGAGACATATTTATTAATAGTATCAACAGATGCTTAAGCATTAGTATGGAAAGTAATAACGATTTGATGAAGTAGTACTTCTATAAATCCTAATTATTATCATCTTATTGACATAACTGATAAGCGTCTAACTATCATATCGTGTGATTTTTTCCATTAACCATTTAAAGAATAAATAAAAAAACAAAAGACCTATCTTCTCTAAAACAAATCTAAGCAAGGGAAAAAAAAGAACTCAATAATCTCCATAAATGAAACATAAAATATATCAGCAATTAACCTGAAACATTTCTACTTTAAACTTTTGCAGTTCAAAAATTCCATTTGAAAAAAGAGAGAGAGAGAAAATGCAGTTGAAGCAAACAAATAAAAAAGTGATAAAGCAAAAAATCTATATATATATATATATATATGTATATGCAGCATTGTATATAATGGAGCAAGCATGCCTAAATAAAAACTGACAATGTTGGAAAAAAAATTGATGAAAAAATATATGAAATAAGCAAACATTAACAATCATTTAGCGGTATTGAATAGGGAAACAAAAATTATTTCATCAAAATGAAATTTTCATATGAAACATTCTATATGGTAAAATTTTGCTACACTTTTTTTATTCAAAAATTGCAACAGAATTTTCGTAATGATAAAATTTGAAAAGATAGATTTGAAGTGAAGATAAAAAGTTACACATTATGACATGTATGTATTTTCAATGTCAATGCATCACTATCATCAATCATATACGCAAAAATATTGTAATGTATTCAAATTATGCATGTCGAAAAAAGTTTTAGAATAAAGTAAAATTATTTCATTTGATATCTGATTAAAGTTATAAAGTTAACAAATAACGTCGAAATTTTTTTTTTTATTTTTATTATTAATACAAAATCAATCTGTGTTATATCAAGCAATAGTCACTAATGAGTAATAAGTATAATGGTAATTTATTTTCCAACTGATTGAAATAAATTTGATGAAAAATTCATTAGCTAAGTGGTAGAAGCACGAATAAAATGACGGATGAAAATGACGTATGCCACCCTTTTTTTTTGTTTATGAAAAAAAGAAACTGCAAAATTCGTACTATTAATACAAATAAAAGCTTATGTCAAGTTATTAAGTTATAACTGTTATAAGTAATGATGTAGTCATAAGTTATTTATCAATTTATCAAAAATTTCATAAAAAATTCATTAGCTATAGCAGAACACGAATACAGTGACGTGTTTCACTTTT